ATATGATGATGAATCCAAAAGAGGACAAGCTGTACATAATCAGAACATAAGGATCCATTGATACTCTCAGAGAGGAATCTGGGCAAATTCGAGTTGTTCAGAGAAGGCTTCTCATGTTGATAACAGGATGTTCGATGAAATTGTTGTCCCACAGAAACAAAGCCGTACAGCTACAATCCTGCAATAACAAATCATACCATCGCGAGCTACGAACCGTTCCGTTTGTTCTCTGAAATTGCCAGCAAACAGTGTTGATCGGTACATACTTTTTCTTCGATTGGTCTCTGAACGGCTGGCAAATTGCTTTTCGCATGATCAAGCGTCTTCTAGCAATAATCCAGATAGATCCATTTGAGGAGTAAGTCAGAGTTGAACATGTAGATCAGTACGAGAAGAAACTGAACCAATGAAATGAAACATATTCTTGAGTTCAGAGAAAGCTGTAAAAACAGTTCAATTCACATAGAAAACAACAAAACAAACGTTTCATTCTGAAGAATTTTTAAGCATGAAAAGTATCTTAGACTTTAAACCACCTGGTCTTCTCGATGATTCACTCAGACGAACGTATATGACCGCTCATTAAAAAAATTTTTCAGAATGAAAATGGTACTGAGTTTAATTTTCATAGTGGCCTTCTTTGTAAGCAGTTGTAGCAGGTATCTCTTTATGGGGATACAGACTTATTCAAAAATAAGCCGTTCCTCACCATATTTATAGCTCAGTTCGGATGAACAGCTGATCGGAAATGTGTTCGGTTGTTTCATGATCCTGTGCGTACAAAATGAAAAAGAACAGAATACCTTGAAAACATACCCAGATGAACACAAGTTCATTGTGTAAATGTAAACGCCTTCTCAGCGTTTCTCGTGAAATTGAAAGTTAAAAGGTTCATTTTGGTTTGATTCGTGTGATTTCTTGACAATTATGAAGATCGTTTGAAGAATGATCCCTTTCGCGTTTGTGAAGATTTCGAAAGTGTAGCTCCCTAAGAGAATGAACCATGAAAGAAGAAATCATTTACAGAATTTAAATAAATACAAATTTGAATAACTGTCTGGCCATCAAAGTTGTTCGAGTATTGGTGGAGACTAGTGGTATTTTCGATCACACGTCATACATTAGAGCACAGTTCCTTCAACTGCCCCTTTACGGAATTCATCAGCTATTGGAATATTATAATCTAATGAACCTCACCGGTTTCATTCTCAAAATTAAAACATATTCATGGTGAGGTTTATAAATGAACTGAAATTTGAATAAATCTTCAAATGGCTATGCGGTAATAGCCCGTGGGTCTTAGAGATGTATCAACTGGTCAGAATGCATTTGCATACGAATAGGGGGGAAGTTATGAACTAATTAAAACTTGAATAAACAATTGCTTTGATTCTGTATAAATTTCATGAATTGTTTGATCCTCTGTTTATAAACACTTTCTTTGAGAAACATTGAATGTCTTCTCTCAAATATACATTTGTATTGTTTATATTGATGGAGCCGCTAGTACAGAGTTATCAGTATCATTTGACTACTCTTTCTCATGTTGATAGCTTATTTGACCTTATTTGGTTTGTTCCAAGTCCACTAATTACATTTCTCCTTCTGAATGAGTGACCTCTTCCCTAAAGTTTTCGAATGGATGTTCCGGTATTACTTAGGATACTTTGAACATCTCTTGTTTCTTCGCATTACAATTAAACTTTCCGTTACTTACATCCCTCTCTCTCTCTATCTCTGTCTCTCTCTCTCTGTCTCTTTCTTTCTTTTCCACATTCTGCTCTGCCTCTCGTTCCCTTTCTATGGATATTTCTTCCACACATGTTCATTTCGAGAGGTCACATACGGTGTTTTCGATTGTATTGGCGCTCTAAGTGACCTCAGATGGGCGAGCAGCTTCTGGCACATCAGTGCCAACCGTCTTCCGTTCATAATTTCTTTATTTATATAATATATATGTATGTGTGTGTTGTGAATGCATTCTCCTTGTTTTTTTGTGTCATCTGGCATACTCATTGATTTGTCACAAGTGACTGTAGGAAAGCAGCAAAGCTTACTTAAAAGGCAATTAACGAAACGTTTTACCTGCTGACCTTGCTCAACCTTCAAAACCACCTGTCTTTTCTATTTGATCAGAGTATATCCTACCAAGCTTGCATGTCCATCTATTTGACATAAAAACTGTTTGTATACGAAACAACAAAGTTGGATGGGAGGATCATTTCAGTTTCTCCCTCTTATTTCATTTTGTTCAAAAAAAAATTTTTTTATTAGCTGTAAATCTGAGAAAGTCATTGAAACTTGTTTGCCTCGCTGTTCTCATCCCCTTCTAAAGCCTTAGAAATGATGCAAAAGTTGAAAGAAAAATCATCATCATCATCATCAGATTTAGCGAGGTCATCATACTATCGTAGTTTGACGTCATTGTGTGCCAAAACATAATCCAAATGATTTTTACAAAATAATATTATAGTTGAAAGAAATAAAAAAGTCATTGTAGCGTAGTTATTCCATGTGCCATCTGATATTTAATCCGAAAATTGTAGTGAACTTCCATCGGCTGATGATTCTCTTCACCTCATCTTCTCTCTCTCTTTCATCTCATACCCATTCTCTCTATCTCTTCATCCTTTACTCTTATAAGGATTCCGGTTGAGAGAAAAGGTTCGAAAATCATTTTTCAACATCATTCTCTGAGGTAAAGGCTTTTTTGTATACAAAAAAGCTTTTCATCGAAGAATGTTCTCTGTCTACCACCTCTGCTTTCATTCCATTTTGTTTTGAATTGTTTGTTTTTGGTTTACATTATCATAACTAAAACTAATTCCTCAATTGCTAATATTTACCGTTCGTTTTCGAAATTCCAACTGATAACACCCTTTCGCTCTCACTTTCTCATTCATGAGTCTTCCAGAATCATCTTCACACTGTTCCATCCATTTTCTTTCCGCATTATAACCTGAAGCTGCATCTCATCTCATTTCTCTGTCTCTCTCGCTTCCTCACAATGTTTCATTTCACTTACCTTCCCCACCACTTGTATAGCAAGAGAAATAGTTTCTTAACACTTTTCATCAATTAAATCAATTAATCAAGCTCTTGTGGCTTGTGTGCACTTTGCTTCAAAGAAGCTTCTGCCGTTCTATTCCAGCTTCAGCATATCCCTTTTTCTACCTTTCCACAACTGTTTCAAAAAGATTTTTTTATGTGTTGCTTATCCTAAAAACCACTTTTGATCCCATCCTACTGATGTGTCCGCTCAGTTCTGTTCCTCAAAAAACGATTCTTTTCTTTTAAATTTTGAAGGAAAAAAAAACATTTTGACTTGTCATACGTTGTGCCAAGTTGAAATCTCTTTCTCTCTCTCTCTCTCTCTCTTCATGTGTCTCTCTCTCTCTGTGTTGCTTCTCAGCTTTTTCACTGTTTATTGCAGTAACTCAGACGGAACCTCTTATATCATTCCAACAGAAGACAATGTTTGCCTTAGTTGGTAAGTTTTACTTTTTCTTTCATTTCATCCATTACTTCTCCAACTTCAACAAATGAATTTGAAATTCAAGTTTGACATGAGACTGACCGCTTGAAGATTCCGTTTCTCTCTTGTTCAGCTACTTTGTCTCCATCTATGCTTCTTCACTTCTTCTTCTTCTTCTCACATACCCTCTTCCACTTTCTATTAATTCAAATGCTTTGCGTAAGGAATAATAGAAAATTAAAATTCATTTGTATATATTGACTCATTTGGCTATGGAAGCCATGAATGTTCCAATAATTCGGAGTAACTGAACCATTCGAAGGCTGTTACCCCCAACTGAATACAGGTCAGATGTCCATTATCCTTCTACAACATATATTCATATAACATGTTATGTTTTTATTAAATATCGATTATCGTTATTACTCATTGAAACCTTCACGCACATGTTCACGTAGCTTCATCTCATTCAACCCCAGACAGTTCATTTCTATGTCATGCAAACGTCTAGAGCGGTTGATCATCCATATACTCTCACTCTCACTCACATTCCCTCTCATCATCATCCTCCATATACTTTTCTTGTATTTAATAAAGATTGAGAGCTTTATTAAAACATCATAGTATCTGATGTTCTTTTTCAATTTTAAAAGAAAAAAAATCATTATTTCTGTTCCAACGTCAGTGAGGTGTGATTGATATCGCCAGAGATCTTAAGCCAGACGTTCTAACTCATCATTCTATGTCTGCTATCTCTTCATTTCATATACTCTTTCGAAATATTTTAATGTGATCAAACAACTCGAACCTGGTGCCAATCTTATCTTATTTTGTAAATAAAAAAAGGACTACGAAGAGTAATTTTAGAAACGATACAACTATCTACACAAAGGGCATTATCGTGATGTGAACATCATGAAGCTTCTATAACCATATGATATAAATTAAAATTTGAATGATTGATAGATGTCAACTAGCCAACTAACTAATTTGCCTTTGCCCATATATTTTTTCGTCTTTAAATCATTCAGATGAGACTGTTTCAAACTCAGATGATGATAGATAACAACCCGTCATCTGGTGCTTCAGATCCCTTTTTCGTTAATCCCCCCTTTTGACCATTTTTGGGGCCATCTGAGGTCAAAGCATGTGGACGATAACGATATTGGTTGCCTTTCATCCCGTTCTAACTCAATTAACTCAATGTCGATTTATCTGTCAAAATGTATCTTGTCATCTCACCATTTTCATAATTCGTATCTTTGAGATCAAGAAAAACGCGGAAGACAGAGTGTCAGCAGGAGAAGCTTGACTGTCATCAATAGTCATCTTAAACCTAAAGCTGTGATGGGTCAGGACAGTTTTGACCTTACTAAACGGTTTTTTTCTCATCTTCTCTCATATTTTCTTTTACTCTCATCCAAATAAGAAATGTTCCGATGCCATATTTATCCATTTATGGACATAGTTTGTTTGTATAAAGAAGAAGTTAAACTAACTTTCTCTTTGATACATCCTCTTTCTCTTTCTCTGTTACTCTCTCATTTCCATTATCTCTCCTCATTCTCCTTTTCTCTCACAATTTCGTCTTTAAAGTAAATTAGATGTATTGCCTTTTATGGACTCAACAATCTGTTTGCAACCTCTTCAACTCCCACACTGTAATGCCACTGTGTGCCATTTGAAAAGTGAACGAAGAGTCATGTACTCTGACCTTTAATTACTTATCGATTACTAATTGATTACTTTAACTCCTTATATGATGATCCTATCGATCTCTATCTCATCATCTACTTCTTACTCGAACTCATCTCTCAGCTTCATATACATTTCATTTTCGTTTACTTTATCCAAATATAGAGAGTGAGAACCATTTTGTAAACCGAGTTATAGCCTGAGGGCTTCTTGTCGCAGCTTCAATGACTTCCGGAATCAAATTGTATTCGAAACGTTCATAAAATCCAGTTCATCTCCTATTTTATTTCTTTTTACTATACGTATAGTTAGCGCATAAATAAACTTTTACTATATTTTTCTCAAGAAAATGCATATTTGAATGAACGGAAATAAAAAATTCTTTTTTTCTGTGATTGAGTTTGTGTATCTGTGAGGATAGCTGCTGTGATTCAGTTGTTACGACCATATCCGGTCAGTTTATGTTTCATTCAGCTTTAGAGACTCACTCTATCTCTTTCTGTTTCTTCGTCATACTCTCTCTCTCTCTCTCTATAGCTGTCACCCTTTATGAATAAGCAACTTTCACTTTGTTTTCTTGTAACTCACTCCTCATATCCGCTTTTCATGGTTATTGATTGATTTTATGCTAATTATGCCGTTTTTCACTTTTTTTTTATTGTCTGCTGCCACCACGTTCGTTTTCATTTTCATTTTGTTTTGTTACGTAAAGCGGTTGTGCATGCATATACTATACATACTGGGTGTGTGTGTGTGTGTCTATAACATTTCGCCATTGTCTTACCTTTTATAAGAATTGTAATCTTTTAACTATATGTAATAGTTATTGATTGATTAATAATAATAATAATAATATATTATAGTTTTAATAATAACATGACTTAATGAAGAGTGCTAATGACATCCTGGTTAAGACGACGTTTCTCTCATTACGATTCCATCCTTGATCCATGTCCTACAGACGATGATCCAGACGTCATGCTACGAGGTATTTTTCTCTTTTAAAATTCTGTGTTTTTTCATTTTCTTTTCTTTGTTTGTTCATGCAAATTAACAACTAACTGTTTTGACCTTTGTTATTAATGAAAAGTCCTTTGAATGAATGGCCCCGAATGACTTCTTTTGATTCTCTTCATACTCTACCCTCCTTACCCTCCTTACCCCCTACTCAACAACATCCGGTTTATGAATGAATCTTTGAGCTTCTCCTTCATTCAGTTTGAAACGGTTTCGCATTCTCGCCATGTTTCAAGTGCTTTTTATGAATTTTTGACAAAATTCTTCATTGAAATTGGATTATTTACCTTATGCTCTGTTGTCGGTTGTTTTTAAATTAGAAAACAAGTTGATGACAAAGCATCTTCTCGTAAACTTCTGATGATCAACCAGCCATTATTTGCATTCTGAATATCATTCAGCTGACCTTGCCTAGCACATGGGAACATGTCTTCATTTCCCTCCTTTTTCCATGATTAATCTCTTCTCTCGTTCCCTTTGAAGCTTACTCTCTCTCTATACTGATGCTCTTTTTGATACAATCTTTCGAAATCTGGTCATTTCGTTTTCTCCTATCTCACACAGCCTCTTCATCTCGTATCTCATACTCTGTGAGTTTCCTTTTCTGTCTTAAACAGTCTCCCTCTTTGTACTTTTTTTTTAATGTTAACCTCTCAACCTTTGTGTTAGTCGACCGATAACCGACGAGATAAGATTTGCACAAAGTTGTATTTCAGCGTCATCCATCTAGAAGCTCTTAACTCATTTTGTCTTTGATCATTTACTTTTCTTTTCTTTCTCTTCCTTAAACCATCTTCATCTAAAGCGATTTCTCTTGTCTGTTTGTCCTTGTTTTTGGTTAGAATTCTCGTCAAGTATCATTCATACTCTCGTTTTTGAGAAATATTGTGTTAAGAGAAAAGAAAAAAAAAGCTGAAAGCCATTTGTGAGTTGTGAACATTGATCCAAGAGAGGATTGAGAACAAGGAGCAACAAGAGAACAGTTTCTTACCTCACTTACAGAGACAAATGAGATTAGAAGAGCAAGAAGGAAGATCAAGCTCTCTCTCTCTCTCTCTCTCTCTCTCTCTCTGTGCGTATATCTCTTAAGCTCTCTATTTGTAACACTTTGTGCTTTCTCACTCATTTTTCTTGTTAAACATCAAAAATTTTGACACTTCAGAGGACACGATGAAATCTCAGATTCTTCGTCCTATTTGCCCACTTGAATTGTCGCTTTTTTTTCTCTTTTATCTCAGATTATTTACGTAAATCTGTAGTTTATCACCTCTCTTTCATATATTTTTAGAAAAGTTTAGAGAGGTCGACTTATGAAGAGATAGAGATAGATAGAGAGAGACTGTAATATACAGAGAGAGAATCATTGAATGGGTTTGGGTGGTGGTTGAGAAGGTGATGCTGAGGTTTGAAAAAAACATTTGCCAACAGTCTCTGTAGATCAAAGACTTGCCGACTTACGAATTTTGTTCTTTTTAAATCTTTTGATAATATCGTTCGTTACACTTTCATATCCTTTTTTGGATGATTTTTATGAAACATCTCTACCTCTCTATCTCTCTGTTACTCTTCATGTTTGACCATCACCATCTCAGTCTCTCTCTCTCCCTTCATCTCATTCTTTCTCTTTTAAGTTTCCAAAAAAAACAAATCAGCTTTTCTGTTTCTTAGTCGTTACACATATCATATACAGCTAACACCACCTTTTCCATTTCATTCCATTCTATTTTTCAATTAAGAATTTACTTTTCATCCGGTTACCATCTTGGGAAGCTTTTATTCAAATTTGCGACAAAGTTTTCAAACAGGATTTCCTCTGACCAAATGTGGCAATTGAATAAATCCGTTTTTCCCTTTTTTCTCCTTTTCATCCTTCTCCTCCTTCTTCTCCTGTTGTCCTCACAAACTTGGGCAACACTAATGAGAATCGTATTATGAATGGTTCACAATGCTGGAAAATGACATGATTTTTGAATTTTTTGGAGAAGAAGAGAGAGAGAGAGAGCAGAAGAGATTGCATGTGTTGAAGAAAGCTTCAATCGTGCGCATTTTGAATAATAAAAAGTTTTCTTTTTGTTTGAATCTCCTCACTCACCTCTTAATTGATATTCAGTATGGGTTTCTCTCATTTGTCAACAAAACCCACTGTCAAGCCCTTTTTCTGACCATTTGAAAGCTTCCACTTGAATCAATCATGATGATCATCATCATCATCAGCACCATCATCACCCTTCGACACAAGCTACAATTCATTTAAATTTCAAACGATTTTCCATTTATTTCTTTGTTTTTTTAAATTTTTCCTTCCGCCTTCTCGACTCTCATACTCTTTTGACGTTTTTTTCGGTGCTCTCTTTGCAATTCCCAAGTGACTGGTCAGCTTAATGATGTTAAGCTAAACACATTCGTACAATTTTGTGTTGTTTTTCTATTCGTTTGCTTATGTTCTATCTCTATCTGGCTTTAAATGATCACGTGAGCCACGTGAGTATTGGCGTGGAAATGATTTGACGTGTAAGACGTGATGTTCATTTGCTGCTGAACGACGGCATTGAACGGTTGAAATCTGCTTTTATTGCATTTCTCAAAGCTTCTACATATCTCATGATAAATGGATCATTGAAGTTGGCCCATTCAGTCAGAAACTTCTCTCCTAAACAACTCTTTGCAGCTATTCTTTGAATCCTTTCAAAGTAAAAGCTATACTTTCATTTATTTTTGTTTAAAAAAATAAAAAATAAATGAGTTGATGACACCACTCCCTCTCTCTCTCTGTATGTCTCATTCCCTCGCTTTCTCTCTCTTTCTCTCTTTCTGTATCTGCTTGTGTGTATATGTGTTTGTGTGTGTTTATGAAGATCTGGTCCATTCGCATCTTCTCGTCCACATCTTCGTCGGAACTTCCGGTCTCAGAAAGTTTCTGAAAGTTTGAAGAAACTGAAGAAGCTGTTGTTAAAAAAGACAATCTTAAATTGTAAAAAATTAGATTAAGGATTAGGGAGGGAGAGGGAGAGGGAGAGAGAGAAGAAGAGAGAGGAGGGATGCGAGTATGATGACGAAGAGTAAGAAGAAGACAGATTGAAAAATACCCAACAGAAGAGATAATGTCTGTGTCTTCCCTAATATGGCAATCACTGTGTTCATTATCATCTCCAATATTCTATTTCTTGAGAAAAAATAATATTTTTTGATCTGTTTGTCATCAATTAATAATGTCAATATTGAGTTGATGATATGCGAGAACTGGACGTGAACTCATCGTCATCGTCATTCGTGCAAATGATCTTCTTAGTTGAAGATTCTCATTTTAATGGCATTTTTTCCCTTTTATAGAGTCTTTCTTCATTGTCTATCATTCCCTCTCTCTCTTTACATCTCTCTCTGTTTCTCTCTATGTCATTATACCTATTCTCTTTTTATCTTGTCCAGCTATCATCACTATCGTCCCTCTGTTCCACACACAGAGCTTTATGTCGTCAGCTGTTGAATTGAACTTCATTTTCAACAAAAATTCTTAATGCTTGGACACTTGTTGATGCCGTAATCACGTCACTTGATTTTCTTTCATTTTTTACTTTTTATTTCATCGTTTTCATAGCATCCACCGACCTACATGCTTTCTTTTACTTTTTTATTCTTCTTCTCATACTTTTTGCAAACAAAAATTAGCTTTTGAAGCATTTTTTATGAAAGCGCTCAGCTGTGAAAGCTTTTTGTGGAAACTCGTACAGAACCATATGATTGAGTACGTATTGGATTGTATTCAAATTCTGATAAAAGAATTCCACTCTCTCTCTCTTTGGTTTTTTCTCTTTTGAATCCCTTTGACACCCTCTCTCTCTCTATCTGTTTCCCCTCCCTTTCTTTTTCTCTCTCTCTCTCTTTATATATATCCCTTTGATGTACGATTACGCAGAGTAGAGTAGATAACCAAATGCCAATCGTCTTCTCTATGAAAGAGCCCATGGCTAAAAATCGTTGTAATATGGACAACAGCAGACAAAGAATAAGAAGAAGCCTCACATAGCAAGAGAGAGAGCAGAGATATAGAGAGAGAGTTGATTGAACAGAAAAAAGATGATTTTCATCTTTTAATGAAATATTTCGATAGTTTAAGAGGTAACAAAGAGAATCCTCATACTTTAAAAAGCTTTATTCAAGTATTTTTCAAGTTGTCTTTGTAGTTTGAGCTTCAAAGCAGATCGAAGCTTAGACGATCCGTGCTTTCAACGTCCGTCTTTTCACTCTTTTTGTTGTTTTTTTTTTCTTATAAAATCTATTGCTTTTTTGCTGTTTTTTTTACTTTTCTTTCATCTTTCCTGCAAGATCTTCTATTTCTCTTCTCACCTCTCTTTCACACGTCATCCCTCCTTTTCTTGTTCTTCAACTCACCTCCTCTCCTTCGTCTCCCTCTCTATCTCTCTCTCTCTTCATTACATTTTTTTGTCTTTGGAACTCCGTTACTCCCTTCTGATTAACCAGAAAAAAAAGAAATTGGCTTTGCTTAGTTTATAAAAGAATTAAAAATTATCTCATTAAAGGTCATTTAAGGAGGGATTGTATAGATCTCTTCATCTACCATCATCTCTCCCTCTTTCCGTATTTTCTTGATGATCTTATCCATTATTCTCTTTCCTCTAGTTATCCTTCATCATCTTCCATTTGATCGACTATAGTCATTAAGAATATTTAGATTTTTTATTCTTTTTTTTTTCCTCATTTTGCTGTTTATTTCTTTAACATGAACTGTCAGCTGAACATGTGGCGGTGATACATCATCTATAGAGAGTGATCATTGTTCAGGCATGTGTCACGTGCATTTCCGTTTACTATAAACGAACATCTTGTTGATGAATGTTAGCGTGAAGAACTATTCTGATTGCATGTGAAGATTGAGCAAGAGCTGTTTGTGAACGCGATCGGTGCGGTCAAAGACTTCTCAAATTACTTACAACATGAATATTCAGCCTAAGGCTGAAGCTCAGTCTTATAATATTATAATATGATCTGATGGTCAAGACAAGCCATGTATAAGGTAATAAACACCATTCTGCTTGTTGATACAAGTGCAGATCATATGCAATGAGTGAGAGATGAAAAGAGAGAGTTTATGCTGTGCAGAGAGATCTATGCTTGATCTAACTCAACCCGATCACATATCCAATTATCCCCCCTCCCCACCATGTACCAATGAAAATTTCCATAAACGGCTCAAATTACCTGTAAGATAGTGAAGCTGTATGGCTTCTGCCATATCTTATAGCTTAATGATTTTCAAACTGTTGCCAATGAGACGTTTATGGAATTTCTTCAAAACCTGTAAGTCATCATTCCCACAACCGTATTTGTAATCGCAAATGTTATAATTAGTGACAATTAATATTTATTATGACTATTCATCCCTTTTAAGGCTATCGTTCTCGCGTTGACTTAACATCGCCGTCATCATCAGAAAAATCGAATAATTATGATAATCTGGATGACGACAGATCAAACGACGAATATCGAGTAGTAAGAACGACGACGACGACAACGATGCCGACCATGTCTTCAGAAGAGAATCGTAAATCAACGTATGTTTCATGAATATTCTTGTTAAAGCATATTCAAGCTTGTTGTTATTGCAGATCTCCTATGGAGAATAGCTTAGCGTTAAGTGAGGATTCTTCAACAAATACATTGACAGGTAAAATGCTTTCTTCATCATCAACTTCCATCTCCCTCCTTAGCTCTTATCCCCCTCTCTCTCTCTATCTCTCTTTATTTTTTGTTTTATTTGAATATCAAAATGTTCTAGAGAGGGAAACAACTCCAACATCATCAAATCCAATGATGACGTACACACCTGTGTTGAGAAGAAAACGAAGTAATCATCTTCAACGACGAAACTATCGGTATGCATTTCAACAATTCCTGTTTCATTGTCTCTCGCGAAAAATAGAGAAAAAAAAACAAAAATTTTTAACTTTCTTGTGCTTGTGCTATTCTGTCGTTTTTTTCTCGTCCGAACATGCAACTGATTCCAGAATCATTGCTCCGGATGAGTCGTTGATGATTCTTCAACAGCAGAATCAACAACAATCGGAAGTGATTGGAAGTAAGAAAAGCAAGATACTTCGTCGTAGAAGTACACGTAAAGAGAGCACATCTTCTGTCTACAAGTAAGCAAGAGAAAGCTATCTGTTTCATCTTTTCTCATACAATACATACATTCAGCCCTCCTATGGTCATCACACCGCCCGTTCTTCTCGCACGTACCCAATCATGCTCCCTCTGTCGACGAGAGAAAAGGTACGAACACATTGATTTTCAAAAAATAAAATAAGAAAAGAAACGAAATGAATTATTTGTTGAAATTGCGTTCGTTTCTCAGTGTTTACCTTTGATTGTCTTTTTCTTCTTTTTTCTTCTTCATTCTCATCATTTACCTCCATCATCTTTCATCAGATGATAGGATCAAATGTATTATCAGATGATTAGTGATAGCCTTGGAATACTTTACTCATCTTAGTCTATTCGAAGTTTCTTTTTCCATTTCTATTCATTCTCTATTCGTTATAGAGAGCTATAAAATAGAATATAGAATATGAGAGAGTGTGAGAGAGAGAGAGATATTTGGAAAGATACTGAATGCTTTTCATTTCCCTCTCTCTCTCTATCTCTATCTATCTCCCTCTATTTCTTCGTTTTTCCATTTTCCTCCCTCTCAACCATCTTCCTCTCTTCCATCAATTTCTTTTTTTCCTATTTTGTATTCTTCCAATTCCTAAGTATTGGTCAGCTTTTCCTTAATATCACACATTGTCGTCATTTTCCAAAACATCTCCCAAATACCATGAAAGGCTGATTATGATGCTTTGAGTTTAGCGTGTCGTTCATCATCATTCTGTAACAACAAAATCTTTCTCTTGAAGATGTTCAACATTCCTCATCTGAAGATGAAGTTGATCAGTTGCTTGTCCTCAAAACCTCTTCGGCTTGTTCTTTGAGATTTTTAATATAATTCAACACAAAAATGTTGTTTTTCAATCTCTTTTTTTGTAATTATTCACCTCATTCTCTCGACCTACATGAGACTGTCCTTGCCCTCTCCTGCCTCTGTTCGCCTTTTATCCGCCTTTTTTTTCAATTTATATTTTAATAATAATCCTCATTTACATATTGGCTTCCCAATATGAGGAGGACGAAGATGTCACCAATATTCCAACCAACTCTCTCTCCCTGTCTCTCTCTCTCTCTCAAACCTGCTTTTGCCCTAATTTGGTAGTTTCGTTCATTAAGCATCATCCATGTCTTCCCATTTGTTTTTGCAAACAAAGTCTTTGACATGATTTATTTCAATTTTTTCTTTTTTATATTTCATTTTTCATCATCACTCAAAGTCCTTTGGTCACAAAAGAAAAATTGCTGAACGGACCCCATCCTCTCTCTATCTCTCTCTGTCTTCCTTACTCAATTCTCAAGCTTAGTCTCCTCATTAAGCTTCCTCCAGCTTGGATAACCGAAGAGCGGTAAAATTGCAAAAAATTTTCTCCATCAGATCGCTATCGGCTCATGTCCTCGATTACACTTGATTAGCTTGATGAAGTTTTTTCTCTACCACCCTCTCACGCTGAAAATCTCTTTCTTTATGGATGCCATTTTAGCTTTAACATCAGATTTTGTGAGATGAAGTGAGCGAGGCAGACTTCTTCGGTCGACATCGTCAGTTGTCCTCCAAAGCCTCCCCCCTCCGCCTCATTGGACGTTCTCCTCTTCAGATAATTTCGTTGTGGCAACAGATTCTAAAATGTGATAGTGATTTGACAGCCATCTGAATAGTCTCCTCACATAGAGACACACCCAACATGCATTCAATCATTTTTACTTCTTTTCAAAGATTATTCACCTATCTCCTGTCTCTCTGTCTTGTTCACTCTCTCTCTCATTCTCTCCCTCTCTTTGGAAAGTTTCGGAATGTCTGATCAATTTCAATGTCCTTTGTTTCCAAGTAATTCATTGTTTACAAATCTTTTTTTCGCATTTGATAAGCGACCAGACTTCTTCTCTCCATTGGCTCTTACATAACTCAACATGACAAGAGGTCACAAGAATGTTCTTTTCAAATCCAAAAAGCTAAAAATTCCCAAAAACCCGTTGTTCTTCTTGTTCAGTTTTTTTTGTATATTGTCGTTGAAATAGCATTTTTTGTATTGAATTCCATAGTTGAACAGATAATGGCATGTAAATGAATATCCTGCAATGTCAAGCAACTCTCTGTCAACCAACCAAACCGTTATGTCCTTCGATACTGTTTAGCATCACAAAAACGGCAAAGCTGCTGACAGCCAATTGAAGTTAGCATGTTTTGATAGAAGTCGAGGAAGACATAGATTTTCCTTCTTTTTTTCGTTCAACTCAACCGGATAATTGCCATTTACGATTTGAACAAACTTTTTTTTCATTTCGTTTTGTTTGAAATAAGAAAAAATGAAAAGCAAGATGTCGTTCTACTCCCACGGGTCAGAAATCTATTGGAAGAAGTTGAAAGTAGAAGAATCAGAAGGCAGAAAAAAAAAGAAGCGCAATGACCATCACCCCATTTGAGGGTCAGACACTTGGTCATTGGCTTCTTCTTCATCTTCTTCATCGTCTGAGAAAATCGTAGTTTCAGAAATGTTTTATTTTAACCTCGAAAACAAATTATAAGATTGTAAATTAACAAAAGGAAATTAAATTTTCTTTTCTCTCCTCATATCGCTCCCTCATCCTCTTCTACTCTCTCTCTCTCACCTCATCTCTTCCATTATCTGGCGCATGTAGCCCTTCTTCATCGTCTAATACTGTTTTGACACTTCCTCAACTACTTTCTTAGTCCTTTAGCAACCACAAAATTATTCCGCCTACTTGGTCTCGCTCACCTTTTTCTATAGAAAGTATGAAGAGAGGACACAATACAATCCTCAATCCAATTGGCCTTCTCGATTCAAACAATTCTTTGTAAATCTGACTACAGGTCAGCCTATTTACACCTTCTTCCTAGTAGAGCCGTTTTTATCCTTAAAATTCTCTTATATACTACTATATAATTAATAATTAGCATATGGAATACATGTTTCCACGTAGATCATGCATGTTGCTTCACGTTGCTTCACGTTGTTTCACGTGAAAACACGTCATGCAGACTATAAGCCCTGTCTGACATCATTCATTTACTAATGACAGATATGAGAATGGTTGCATTTTGGATAATTTCAAAACATTACCTAATCCGCTAAATCTATACGTATAGTTAGTAATCCGTCAGTAGCAAACCCAGTTCTCATAGTTGTGACCTTATGGCAATGGTTGAGAACTGAAATCATCTGTTTGTTTTTTATTAAATTTCATTGTCAAAAAGAATGTTTATGAAAATTCTTCTTGGCGACATCATTGCAAGTATCAGTGACTTCTCAAGGCCATATGCATCTATGCATCTTTGTCTCATTCTCTTCTCTTTTTTCAATTTTTTTTAACCTTCGTAAGCTTATAAGATAGACCGCAGGGCATATGATGATGAAATGATATTCCTCTCGACCTTTCTTTCCCATACTATATATGGTATAACATTATAATATCATTAACATTCCTGTTTCTCTGACACTCGTTTCATAGGCATAACCAATATATAATTTATATGATATAGTTAGTCATCACTATATGATATGATATACTTTTATAAGATTTATGACTTTTCAACTTCCGTCTTCTTGTTTCTCGTAAGTGCTGGTTACTACCATCCATCCTTCTACATCTCATGACAACGCCCTTAGGCTATTCGAACGAAAACTGTAATTTTGAGTTCTCAAAAACGATTTCAACCAATTATTCCATTCAACAATAGAAGAGTGAGAATAGAAGACGGAAAAGATTCTGCCGTCCGGCTTCAGAAGTATAATTAATTGAAAATACGTTTGCTCCATGACGTCAGTCTCAGTCTCTCATATAGTTTAAGATGAAAACGCCACTGACCATTGTTTATCTTTGAGATTTTGCATAAAATTTTTTGCTGAGATGGATAGCTTTGATTAAGTTTTTACCTGAAAAAGCTTAATTCATAGATTAGGATGTATATAGCCGTGGGCGCAATTACCATTTCTCATCAATCAAGATGATGATGATGATGATGATGATGATGAAAGGACGCAAAAGGAAATGAATTGTAATTGTTCGGACACCATTTGAGTTCATTTTTTGCGTCGCCCAAACGTCTCATCTGATTTCAATCGTTGCAAATGCATTTGCATGTGTAGTTTCTCATTCAGATGAAACTAAAAATGAAACACAAAAACTGACTGCAAACCAGAAACCGTTTTTCAATTAATTATGAAAATTCTTCTTGAATAGCCGTATCGTCGGGATTCAGAATTATATAACAACGTGGACGATGACAATCGACCGCAAACAATTCCTCTTCCGCAGTTTTTGTGTTGGCTCTTCTTTCCTGTTTTTTTTTGCTTCGCTCTACCTCTTTCTCTTTCTTTCTTTCTCTCTCTCTCTCTTTGCCTCTCTTCCTCTCTCTCTATCTCATCCTACAAAACCTGCTGACATGTACTTGGAGATAAATTTTATAGTTAATTATTAACTATAACTAGACTGTTAATTTTATGAAACATCTTCATCTGCTATCCTTAACGATGACAGCCAACAGCACATCTTGTGATAAGCCAACGTGTTCCTTCTCTTCAACACCATTCGTTTGCACTTTGATGTTGCGTCGTCTTCCGCGCCCAAGCTTATTATTATTATTTATAAATATTATATTTTTAGCTACAAAAATGAGGTTGCACATCTTCTGTTGACAAATATGATTATCTTCAGCTCAAACGTCCTCAAACTATCATTCTTTTGTTTCCGTTGCATGTCTTTCCGTCTTCAATAGTTTGCCAGCTTTTCCTTCTTATTTCAACATTTAAATTTCTAACCTTGAGCCAGCCTCTCTTCGTCTGTTTTTTTTATTTTCCCTTTTCATATACAAAAACCATTTACATACTATTGAAACGGTCCGAACTTGTTTTTTATTCAAGAAAAGTATATTTCTATAGAAGGACATTTGCTTCTTCATCACTTCCTCTGCCTCCTCCCAACACCTCCCAACAGAGAGTCTCAAAGCCACCCCCTTCCCCTTCCCGACGGTGAAACAGACGGCATTTTGTCTCAAATTTCATCAACAGTTGGACTAACAATTTCGAGAAAAGATGTAGATTTACTCAATCGTCTATACGGATATTCCCTTTTGGTTTTCATCTCACGTGAACGTTCTCACGTAAAAATAAGTTTAAAGCTCGGTTTATTCTTTGCTCATCGAGTACACAGAGCGGTTGTTCTTCTCATTCTCTTGCCCTCTCACCTTTTCCTTGTTTCTTTTCCATTTACTTGGCCTTGTAAGTTGCACAAGTATCATTACGATTATCTTTAAGCTTAAAAGTTGATTCTCTTCTCTCTCTCTCTTCTAAGCATCATTTCATTTCAGTCAACTCTATACGACCGATGAAATGTCTCCCACATCGCTGACCAGCAATCGGAGTCCAGATGAGGTTTGATATTCAAAAAACTTAGTTTAAACTAATGTCATTAAAATCTATTAAGGACGCAGCCAGATTATCTTTTGTTTCTTCTTCCACTGGCTATAGTTCAGCTCGTTCATCTCTCCGATCATCCGATGGCACAGATGAGAATTCAAATCGAGACAGTGGCATCGCAAGGTATTGACACGCACTGGTTCACGTTCAATAAAGTAATATGTTTAAGCTGTTCAACATCTTTGTCATCAAGTCGCCGATCAGCATTGTTAAATAGAGGATCATTATCTCAATTAGATCGAATTGCAATTGAGCTGTTGGATACTGAACGATCCTATGTTCACGATTTGCATGACGTCATCCAGGGTTATCTGAATTTTTTGGTCGATCGTCGAGAAGATCTGCATATAACATTAGATGATATATCATCCTTATTTGGTTGTATTGAACGGATATATTCCTTCAACAGCCGTCTGTATCATCAGTTGGATTCAGCTGAGTTAGACTGCGTCAAGATGAGTCGTTGCTTCGTCGAAAGTTCTGGAAAATTCGAAGATTACATATCTTATTGTACAAACTATCATCGGTAGCTATACTAATTATGCTTTCCATTCATACTTATCATCTTGTAGAATGCTTGGAACTCTAACGAATCTTCAACAGCAGCCTCAGCTATCGTCAGCACTTCTGGATCGCCAGAATGCCTTAGGACATGCACTTCCATTATCAGCATACTTGTTGAAGCCAGTACAAAGAATCCTTAAGTATCATCTGTTTTTGGAGGTTCGAAAGCTATTCATACATCTACTTTACCCTCAATCTTTCAGAATATGATGAAAAATTTGCCAAACAGCTTATCAGCTGATGACAAGGCCGTCATTCGGAAAGCTCATGAAGTTATGACTTCTCAAGCTGGACGGATAAACGATGAAAAGAAGAAGGCTGAACATTCTGAGAGAGTATCTCAACTGCAGTCAGCTATTCAAAAATGGAAGTTAGATGAGGTTAGTGTCAATGTGTATAGACTGTCATCATACATTCATTCCTACAGACATCGAATCTATCGACATACGGTGATCTTCTGCTTGAATCTTCTTTCAAATTAGCCGGTTCAAAGACAGTTCGACTGTTATTCCTATTTGAAGAAATGTTATTAATTGTCAAACAACGTAATAATAGTTATGTATGTAAAGATTACATAATGGTAAGTCATTCTATCAGAATACTTTCATTTACAATAACCTTTTGCAGTCATCGAATCTCATGCTGAATGAATCCATATGTGCTGAAGACCCATTGGCTTTTCAAGTTCTCTCCTTTGATAACCCAAGAACCCAATATGTATTTTTGGTAAAGATAGTCTTTGTACAAATATCTTATATTGTTATCTTTCAGGCAAACTCGATGGAACAGAAAAGGATTTGGATGACTGAGCTGAAGCGGATGATGCTCGACCATTACGGAATTGCAATCCCTGAAAAGACCAAGCAACTCATGTTGAGTATGGACAATACGCAGAAAGTTGCTTTCGGACGTCCGGAGTTTGCCGATGGTAATACCCATCTCTCGATTATATCATAATCAGTTTCATTTATAGTTTCGATCAAACAGTCTAAGAAGGTTCCCAAGTATTTGGAGAAACGCCGCAAAAGTATGGATTCACAGGAGTCTCGTAGAAGGAGCTTGTCTGCTACCAGATTGCTCGGGAGTAGCAAAGTGAGAATTAAACTGCTTTCCCTCCTAGTTTTTGCTTTTCAGTCCTCTCTCATCTCTGAATCTATTCCTTACCGTAGCTCAGTTGAGGAGAACACCAAATGCACGTGCCATCTCAATCCGAGCACAAGCACTAACACCCCTACAGAGAAGGTGAGAAAGATTTGACACATGAAAACTTGTAAACTTTTCACTCTTCAGGAACAAAGACCTTCAGTCATGCGAACGTCATCAGCATCCACCATTCATTGCTTTGACATGCCAGCTGAAACAAGTCCCAAAGAGCCTTCAGATGTACAAACTTCTAGGAGTCGTTACCATCAAGCAAGAAACCGTCGTAACCTCCCTCCACGTCATGATGTAAAAACATATTCAGAAATCGAAATGTATTCAAAACAATTGTTGTTTAAGGCTCCTTATCGATCAAACTCCACACGAAGATTGGATGAAGATGGCCTTGAAGCAACTTTTGAAGAACTTTATAAGGAGTTAATCGCTTACGGCAACGAACAAGTAATTTTGTACTTGAAGTAGTTCATTTTAATTTTTGTTCGACTTTTAAGGTCAACAAATTACCCGAATCGGAACAAACCAATCGACGGATGGATTCGTTGACTTGGCGCGGGGAGGCAGTTTCTCCAGAAGTACACATGGCCCGTCAGTTACGTTCAAAATCATTAACAAGACTGGATGAAAGCCGAGAATTGCCAGACAAGGCGTAAGTATGAAGTCAGAAATAGGGGTCGAAACTTCTTTCTTTAGTGTTGAACGTCGTTATTCGAAACTTGATCAAATAAAAAGAAGCAAACATCGAAAGGCTATAATCGAAGAGGTAGTGTTCAAGTTCTTCCTTCCTGATTTGAGCTTCACGTGATCTTGCCCTCACGTGAGACTATTCCAGTTCATTTTCATTTTTTTCATTTTTGACGTAAAAAACGGTTGTCTTAAATGATTTTCTTTTTTGATCTTCTTTGAAGTTGAGCTTTTTTCAGGTTCCGTCATTGCGATTAAGTTGTGGTCGGTTCTCTCTCACGGATCAAACGAGTCACATCACAGAAAGGAACATTTCGGGTTTGCCACCATTTCCATTCAAATACGACGATGAGAAGTTGAATAAGAGACAGTCACTATCAGCAAGGTATTTGAATCATATGGAACGTGGTTCTGATTCAAATTCTTGCAGACAACGAACACCATTGACTGCTGAACAAGTAGCAGAATTGGATGCTTTCCTGCCGACCGTTGGTGTAGTCAAATCAATGATCAAATCATTTGAGAAGCACTAAGCATCCCTCTTTCTCTCTCTTTGTCTCTTTCCCTTCCATATGAACGAACCTCTTCTTTGGCTCAAAGAATTGCATTTCATATGCTAATCAGTGATTCTCAATCACAACATTGTCCGGTTTTCTATTCTCAATTGATGATTCACTCACTTCTGACTTCGAATTCCGCCGGTTTTTACCTTTTTTTGTTTTGTTACAGAAATGTTAATATATATATATATTAAGAAGTTCTGTGGTGGAATTCGAACAGATTCTTCTTTGTTTGTAATCCCGCCAATACCAAATGACTTCCATACGGTCTTCTGTTACAAGCGTAACTACCTTCTCCTCCTCCTCCTCATACAACGAAACTTAACTGACTGATTCATAGGCATCCTATCATTCTCACTCTCTCTCTCTCTTACTACTCATTTGTATGTTGCCTGCTAAACTGTTTAAGCTTTTTCCCTCTCTCTTTGTTTTTTTGTGCATTTTCAAACTTGAAAATATGTTTGGTCACTCAAATGGTTTCATATTCAGTTTTTCTCGTTTCAACCTAGTTAGAGCATGATTCATCCCACAGATAGGCATGTTGTAGATTTCTGTATAATCTCAAACATACACACAACACCAACACACAGAATACAATTGATATATTTCTATTATTTTTTATGTACATACGTCTGATGAACAGCAAAAAAAACGTTGAAAATAAGCAACGAACAAATAAAAATTAATTAATTTGTTTTATTTTATATTCAAATGAAGACAGAAAGAGCTAAGAGCTATCATATGTAAGGACATATACACTTGGATACTTGATGAGACATAGAGAGAGGTAGTCTAGCTATGAAGGACAGTGTTCTTTCGTTTCAAAAATATTTATATATATATCTGCTCTGTTTGTTATCTCATATATCTTGTTAACTATAATATACTTATTGCTTTGGTGGAATAGGAGAACTGCTGAATGCTCGTTGCATATCCGATTGAAGCTTAACTTCTTCTAAAACTTGACAGACGTTTCCCATTGAACGACAACCGCTACAACTTATAACAACTGATATAAGAGCCTTAAATTAATATATTTAACTATATGAAAGATTAAGCTAAAGCAAACCTGTATGAAAACAACAAGACTTAAGCAGAGATCAAGCTCTACAGGCTCACTATCGCGGACAAACCAGGATGCTTCAACTTCTGGGAATGTCCATGGAATGGTTGGGAATAATCCTATAACGATGACAATGACTTGTATGATATAATGATAAGATTAGAATTACCCAAAATGAAAGGAACAATTGATAAAAGAATATTGAAAGATGTTAATGAGTAAGAGAAAGTTGCTGCTGAATAGCTTCGACGTTTGACAGCGTAAATTCCAACTAAGGCTGCTACTAAGACAAGAAGAGAATAGGCGAGTTCTATTCCAATAGCCCACTTGGAGCCTTGTAGAATACGTGTAACTCCTAATCCGAATATACACAGAGAGCACAACACCTTCAAAACGAAACATAAGGTTGAGTGAAGAAAGATCTTGGATGTTACCTGCATACTTCCAAAGGTTGACAGAGTGTTCCAGTTAATCAAGTCATGTTCTGCTGCTTTTGAACGAGGTGGTGTCATGAATAGCATTGGAGCTGGAGCTACGGGAGCTGTTGTGATTGCTGTGAAAGTAGATGGAGGACGAAGATATGGATCAATGATAGCTGGAGCCATCATTGGAGGAATAGCTGATGGAGGACGAGAAGCTAAATGAAGCTGAAAGCATGTCAAAGAATCATAAGGAAAAGAAAGTAGGAAACGATTACCTTATATGGATCATACATGGATCGATGATGAAGATCCATCAATGATTCGGCTTCTAAGTTTTCCGGTCGTGGTAGAGTACAATACGATTGATAACGTGAGCCGATGCCTGCAACCAGGCGAGTTCCAGAAGCAATAGGCAAATTAGAAAAAGGAAAAGTTGATTTGCAACTGAGAAGATGTGCAACCATAGTTTTCCTTTTTTTCTTCTTTTTGTATCTTTTTAGATAGATGAGAATGAATGCAAACGGAAACTTAATAAGAAAACTGAGGATGAATAGCCTCAAGGCTTCAATGTGGGTCAAAACATCAAAATGGAATAGTTCTTAAGACAAATGAGTGAATGACGATGAAAACAACATCTCCCAAATGAAATATATTTCTTTTTAATTTCGTTAAAAGATGAAATAGAAATTCAAATGAAAACGTACAGTTTGACATTCCGGCAACTCCGGCATCACTCTGCCGGCTAGGGGGTCGAAGAGTGTACGATTGGCCCATTGCTGATGTTGAGCGAGAACCAGCTCCCGGAGGAACTACAAGTTTATATATATTCTGCTATCACATAATATGTTGAAAGAAGTTGTAACTCACGTCTTCCCCATGTCAGCTTTTGATCTCTACCCATCTGTCTGGCACTTCCGGGGCGAGCATTGAGTGGATGAGCTACTTTTGGTGTGGATTGAGACTGTGGGGGATCTCAAAAGGAAAAATAAGAAAAGTGAACTGTCAGTGTTCTAAATGATGCAACCGGTTCTCACGGGGATAAATTTAAAAATGAGGAAGTGAACGCCGTGAAGCACGTGAGAGTTTACGTGAAGATCCACGTGAAATATTCGAATAGGAGAAAACATACCGAAAACAAATGGATTTGGCTTTACATTCGCTCGTCTTAATGTTCCAGTACTCTGTGATCCATCTCCTAATAGGTTAGACATGAATAATTAATAGATGAAGCTTGCATACTTATGACTTGTTGAATTGGATTAGCACGTCCAAGAGTTCCAGACTTGATAGGAGCATAGGCAGCACCCTGATCAGACTATGAGAGAAAGAATGTGATGGATAAGATGAAACAGTAACTTCTTACTTCAATAGAGTCCTTTTTCCATGTTAGTATGCCATCTTTGAACTTCTTCTTTACTTCAGGTGTCTGCTGCTCTTCAGGTTGACTGTTTGAAGGTTGCCAGAATGCTGGCCTCTGCTGGCTCATTCCACTAAAAGACCATAAATGAACTAATGGAAGGAAAAAGAGAAAAAAACACGGAATGTGAATGGAAATTTGTACAGATCCGGGATAAAATTAGAGAGAAATGGTTGATTGCAACGAATGAGATGAAAGTTGATGGGCAGTGGACAGAAGAATTGATAATCTGTCTCGAGGACGTCACAGATTTCTGCTGAACTTTCCGTTCAAGTCAATCTATCAGATGAAATGACCTTCATGAATAATTGGAATCTCCTTTTGATTGGAGAAGAAGAGTTTCGAGTTGATATTATCACTAACTATATATATATATATATATTATACATACATACATACATTATAGATATATGATTTTAACTATATCATATAAATTATATGTAAAGATGAAAAAGGAACTATCTATCATCTAACTTCTATCATATGACAACTAGAAAAGATCAAATTTTGTTTCTTTCAAAGCTCATCTACCACCTACCAATCATCTGATTTTCAACTCAAAAACTGTTTCAAACGAAAATCATCTTTAATAACATTTATTTTTCTTTTTTTTCTCATTTATCAAGACAAATGGCAAAACATTAGGAATGGTTAATGGAAAAAAAGCATGAAAATGATATAAAAGTGGTTGATGGGTGGAGTAGAATGGCCATAAAAAGGGTGTGGACATGAGGTGGATGCTGCTGTCATGGATAACTGATGGTCGTCGTGGTTTGAGGTAGTCAAGGACATACTAAGAACAAATTATATTTGCAAGCTTAACATAACACATACAAACTAAATAAACTCAGAGGGACATGTAAGTCTATAAAGAGAGTGAGAGGAACCTTTAGAGAGAGAGAGAGAGAGAGAGAGAGAGAGAGAGAGAGAGAGAAAGAAAAGGAAAAAAGGAATCTATGTTCGCAAATGATAATTGAGAAATGACGATAATCTTTATTGAAAATGTTTGAAAACTGGGACATGCATTATCGCTCTCGTACATTCCCTATATCAGAGATAACTTTCGGATCATTTGGATTGATATGCTGATGGAAGCTCACAGGCTGTGCTTCTTGTGCTCCAGCTTCTTCTTGTTCTTCTTCTTCACACCCATTGATATCTTGAGTCACTCTCTTGTTTTACTGTAATTTTTAAACTGACAAGCTTTTCCTAGAAGAGAAATAGAATGTATGCCGAAGAGACATAAAGACATAGAGAGAGAAAGAGAAAAAGACCATATGAGAGAGAGTAAGAGAAAACTGTACTTCATCTAGCTTCTCCTCTTCTATGTAGTTATTCCTTTTTGCTAATTAAGAAGACCCAATGATAACCAGATGACGTCGTTCCGTTTCACATCTTGACAATTCAGAAGTCATCTTTATAACTGTGTCTCGAATAATAAGATCCGGTTAATATGTGTGTATATTCTTATAACTAACTATATAGTATTAGTTAGCATATTCTGTTATACATTCTTCCTCTCAGATCTCTCTCTCTCACTCTCTTTTTGTCTTTTTTGTTACTTTTTTCCATTTCTTTCAACCTGTTTCTCATTGATTTTCAGATTTTTATCGTTTTGTCCATTGACTGAAAGACAGAACGACCGTGTCTTCTGCTTTTTCACATTTTTCACCTTTTAATCTTATTTTTCTTGTGATTGTTCAGTTAGACGGACTACTACATCTTTCTCTCTCTCCCTCTCTCTCTTCTACTCCTCTCTCTCTCTCTGTTCTTCCATCTCTTTCAAATACTTCTGCAGACAGTCAATTTTCTAATTTTGAACTTGATTCCTACTTTGCACACAACGTTATTCTCTCTCTCTCTCTCTCTCTCTCTCTCTCTCTCTGATATGCACATCATGCCTCCTCTTCTTCCTTCTTCTGCAACCTCAATGTACAAATTGGAATATTTATTTCTTATTTCTCATTATTTCTCATAAAAATCGAAATTATCGTCTAAAAATGCCTTCATTGGTAGGTTTTGATGTAAAATCAAGAATCGCAATGGACAGACTGAATAGAATGACGTCATTATTTCTGATGGCCTAGCATCTTATAGAGTGAAACCCGTTCTAAAACAACCGTTTTCTCTGTAGTTCATCATCTTCTCGTCCTCTTATTTTCTTTTTTTTACATTTTTTTTTCTTTTTTTCTCTTTCAATTTTTATGATGAATGCATATCTATCATTCAAGTCTTGAAGATCCGACCCCTTTTCCTTTTCCCCTCTCTATCTCTCACTCTCTCTCTATCTATCTCTCTATCTCTTATACAGTCTATAAACCTCTTTATTTCATTTCGTTTTTCTATTCATTCCTTATGGTCATTGATTAAATCACTCTGCCATCATCATCATCATCATCGACATTGTCGTTGTCGTCGTCAGTACATTCATCAGCTGGTACATCCTTCATTTAGCTTGTTAGTTTGTAAAAACACACTTTGTAACCTAAGCTTCAATCATTTCTAACATCACTTGTTGTTGATATGGTTGAACAACTGATACAATTTGCACAAAATCATTTCGTCAAACACCTTGCAGTAAGGCATAATCAATCTGATTAACTGAGAGTATGGTAAATGAAAAATACCACTCAGTTGGTCAAGTTTGAAGAAGCACTTGTTGAAACAAGCAATTACTTCCTAAGCTTCTTCCTTATTTACCTCCTTCTATGTATACTTCCAAAATTTTTTTTTATTTTCAAAAGTACTCTTTTTGGCGAATAATAGAGGGTTGGAGATGTTTTAATAGAACAACATCACCTATGATTTGCTCAAATTGACTGTTTAGTGCCATTGCCTTCTTTTGGTAACTTTATGATGAAAATAACCTTTTCATACATTCTCACTCATTCTCATACTCTCTCAACCACTATGTAGATGAGAAGACTTCTGCTTTCTTCTTCATTTCCAATACACTTATATATCGTTTGGGGGGTTGTTTAAGAGTTGAAAAACCTATTATCCTATTCAAAATGGAATTGGAGATGTCTGTGAGACTGGTCTGTGAACGTCACGCTGCTTTAACATTTTCCGACAAAAAAGATTTTCACAAGCTATCAATCAGTTATTCTATTCGAACATGATCTTTTCGTTTTCATTATGATTCTGATGGAATATGCCATTTATGACAACTTGTACTCAATGATTGTGTATTAGACCGATTTGCATAGTTCAAGACGTGAAATACGTGAAACCTACCTATATACTAGATGTCAGATGCATTTGTCTTCATTTCATGCTTTGAACGGTTGTGTTTCTTGTCTTCTCGTCTTCTCTGTCCCCACCCTTTCCACCAATTCAAGAAAAGCTTGTTTGAAAAAAAAACTTGAGAAGTACTAACTTCAAGAAAAAAAAAAGAAAAATTCTCTTCAATACTGGCACTTTGATACTTTCTGACAACTCTACCGGTCATTTTCAGAACTCTATTCTACATTCTCCGAGTCGACAATCAAGTTCAGCTGGTTTTCGCATATTTTCCGGAAATTTTGAATAAAACCTTTATAAAATGGTTTAGAAGAAGAACAGAAGCCTTTCAATGTTCAGTATCTGAAAAATTCTGAAAAATTATCAAAAAAATTCTTTTTTTTTCGTCCAATCGCACTAGTAAACTAGATTGCCCAAGGCAATTATCTATGCGAACTCATGCAGATAGCCATTGCACTGAATGTTAAACTGTCATCATCTGAATTATATTTTTTCTTTTATAAAAATCCTATTTTTTTCTGATTTTTGTCAAACAACAACGCCATTTGACGATATGACTGAAGTCTTAACGCCTTCACATCACACTTTCTCTATCTTGAAGTCAATCAGAGTAGAGATGTGTGAGGTTAAAAGGAAGTTTCATTGTTTTGTCAGATCATTCAGAGATGTTGTATACATGTGTGTGTGTGTGTTGAGATGCAAGAGGTTGCTATCATCAAAAAAGAGAATTGCATTTGTCTTTCAATTAAAAAATGTTAAACTCGTTTCATGAAATCTAATCTTTATAACAAATAGTCTGTCACACACCGTCTATTCATCGGAAGAAGACGAAAAAAGATATTTCATGAACAAATTTCAATAAACTTTATGTTCCATCTATCTCTCAATGATGTTCTGTGTATGTATGTGTGTGTGTGAGGAACAAGGAGAAGCTTGAGCTGATCTAAAGAATCAAAATGAATGCGAAGTGTTGAGAATAGAAGGTCAAGCTCATCAGCATCGAATCATCAGTTCCATTGTTGGAAAAACCTATTTTTACAAACAACTTCATGTTTTCATTCCATTTTTTAAGTCATAAACTTGTTTTTTATCATTTATTTTGTAAAAAAATATACTTTTTTTTATTTAAATTTTTGTTTTTTGACCGATGGCACAACACTAGTTGGCCAACTAGAAGAAGACATGACTGGGCGTTCATTCGTTCGTTCGTTCTCTGGGTAGTTGTGTCGTGTTAGTACACAAATGAAATCAGACTGTTGATAAGAACAAAGGTTATTCTCATTCATTTAATGCTTTTATAACTTTGTTTGAAATCCAAATGAGAAGCTTTAATTAAAAATCTGATTTCATTTGCGAAGCTTTAAGCTTGTTCGCTCACATACACATCTTGCCCCCAAGCGCATCATGTAGAGCGCGGGGATGGGCTTTAGTCTCAATGCACCCCAATCAGGAATTCTTATCATAATCATTATATCATTAGCTATATGTTATTTTAAGAATTCTAATTCATATATGTTTCGTATTGAAAAACGTATGATCTACCTTGTTCATTAGCATTTTAAGGAAGATTTGATGTTGTTTGTTGAAGATACAACAATAACAATATCAAATGGTCATTCTTGTCCTTCAACCCAGTTTGAAGAACAGGACGATCATTCCAAAGTAGTTCTTTACTTCACCAACTTCTATTTTGCAATCAAAATCTCTTTTTTTTTCCTTTTTTTTTCTTTTTTTATTTTTCGAATTCACAAATCAATGACGATCCTTCTCTCTCATCTTCCACTCCCACCTTCTTCTTCAGACCTTAGCTGTTACAAGTATCTGAAATAACAAATTTCCTTTTGTCGTCAAATCGAAATCTGAAAAACGTTTTGATGCTGATCATTGTTCTAATCGTTGGTGACGATCTGCCTTCGAACCTAATTTGACCTGTCTTAACTTTTTTTTTCAATTCTAACCTTCACATTCAATCATTCTAGGTGATCTTCTACTGCTACTACTTCGTCTCCCTCTCTCTCTCTTTCTTTCTCTCTCTGTTTCTCTCTCTATGCCTGTCTTTCTTTCTTCATTTGTATTCAAACAAGATTTTGATGGTCTTTTTCATCATTACTTTTATTAATTTTTTATTTCTCATTCATTTCTCCTTTTCAGAATTGGCCGTTTAAGACAAGTTGTTTGTTGTTGTTCAATCTCACTTCACTAATGTAAAGCATGAGTGCCAATGTTCGAACGGATTGTTTCTTTAACCTCACGAGAGAAGAAAAAATTGATATTTTCAAGGTTTGTCTTTCAGTTCTTTTTTATTTTGTTTTCACATGTTCTCTTCTCTCTCTCTCTTCTCTCCTCTGACATCATTCTACCGTTCATTCATTCTTTTCTTGTATCACACAAAAGCTTCTGATGGTCAGTCAGTCAGTTGAAGCTGTCGTACATCATTTCCAATATTTGACTTTCAAACAGAAGAATAGAATCTGCCTTTTTTTCTAATCAAAACAATATGAAATTTGAAACGAATCATCTTATTCTTCCGAATGAATCATGAGAGTTCCTTCTTTCCTTCCTACATCTCTCATTCGCCTTTTTTCGGTCAAAAGAATATGACTGAAAATATTTCTGAAACATCATGTTTATCAATTGAGCTTCAGCGTCGACAAGGATTACGAATTGAAAATGTGTTCCGAAACTACTTCGGATGGGCAATGCTTCCATTGGCCGGATTGGCAACTATCGTAACCATTCTGTTCATAGTGACCATATACAAGGTAAGCCAATGCCATCTTCAAACTTAGCATAATCCCCATTCAGGCAATACGCGCTCGTCGAGTCAGTCGCAAGTGTTACATTTTGATCTTAAATCGTTCAATCGGAGATTTACTATCATGTATCTGTGCTCTTCTCGTTTGTGGTTATGTGTTACTCATGCCTGATGTTAAGTGAGTATCTTCTACTAACTATACATATAATCAGCTTACATTCAGTCGAGACATTGTTATCTTCATGGAGTCATTCTTTATTGGATCTTTCTGGTCAGCTATGGTCTCATATGTAGCTCTTTCTGTTTTAAAAGTATTCCTACCCATTCTTAATTCATTTATAACTTCTTAATTTCAGTTATTTGCCGTTTGGAAACCGTTTCACTATCGCAAATGGTTTAATATGAAACGTTGTATATATTTGATTATCTTCAGGTGAGTCAATAATCGTTTTTTCATTTCCGGATGTACATTGAAAGAACGAAAACAACATCAGTGTTGTTTACAACACTTACAATTAGCATATTTACACAATGACCAATAACTTACGTGACTTACGTGACACATCATACATTACCGTACATTAGCATAATCGTTCACACGTACATTCCACGTGAGACTAACATGTTCACGTCTATCCACGAATCGTCTTAAATCACTTTAATTTGAAAATGATGTGAAGATCGGTTGCGATTTCGTTCCTTTTTTTCTCATTTCATTTATATTTTTAATTATTTTCTTCAATTTCAGTTGGATAATGTTTGTTTTGATGATCAGTTACACATTGGGTGTAACAGCTTTAGTAAAGATTCCTTATTTGAATGAATGGTCAGGTTGTAAAATGGAAACATGTCTTCGTATAATGTATAGGTAAGTATAATTAGCATAATTACCTATTACATATATAGTTTTACATAAATTGAACTATCTTCTATCATTTTCTTTCAGATCAAGAAACTTTGTAACTCTTACCGTATACTTCTTCACATTATTTGTTTTCGTTGGAACAGGTTTTTTATATAAAATTATAATGAAAAATCTAAAATTAACTGATGTTTCAGTTATTCTGATACGAAGAGCACAACGATTTGTTGATTCGTTCAAGAAACGTGAGAGTGCCAAGTCAGAGGGTGGACGTATTCAAAGGGCACGTTTTCCGTTATGGAAATTAGCATTGAATGTTGGAACATTTGCTGGCTTATATCTCTTCTACGTTATATGGTATAGTTAAAGACATAATTTATATGTTAATTAATCTGATTTGTAGGTGCATCGGCTTAGTATTGAATACTGATCAATGCTATTTTCAAAGAAATTATGCGGAAATGATGATGTTATTGTCAATTGTTCGATTCTCTCTTGTTTTGCGGATACTAATTGATCCTATTCTCTCATTCATAACAGATTTCCAGGTAAGTCAGAATGTAGGACGAATATTAAAAATCAATACAACTAAACTGTATTGTTCATCTGTCTTCTGATGTTCTATCTCAACTATTTCAAAAATGTTCATTGAGCCTTGTTTTCTTACAGATTCGTCGTGGTATGCTTGCTCTCTTTAATATTCACCGTAACCTTAATGGACCTGGATCTCGTGTTGGATTCCAAAAATCTACAATCAGCGAGTATAATTCGTCGAATGGCGATTCTGGTCCAAATCGAATTGAAAGAGTTGCTCGTAGTCAAACAGTTCATTCAATTCCTTGAAAAGACAGAGAAACCATCAAAAGATTGTATAAGTGAGACTGTTTGTACTGTTCTCTGACTTTTCAATTGAAAAATGCATTTTTCATATAGAAATAATATAGTTAGTTAATTTGAGCATCATCAGAATCAATATGCACTTACATAATATATATTTATATTGATTATTATTGTTTTATGTTTCTTGTCAAAATCTATAGTCTATTAGAGAAGCCATGTTCCTGCCGGGTATGCTTTCTCATCATCAAACGAGTCGTTCAATTATTATTCTTCTATCTATCTATCTATATATAAACAGAATGGAAAAGCTTCCTCTTCCATAATCATATTTTCATTTCATAATTGTATATAGTGTAAAAATGAGATAAAATATGTTTCTAAGATATATCTTTCTTTTAGATCATTATGCTTATATAGTATATGCACAAGCTGATTTCATTGTCTCACTCGCTCGCTCGCTCGCTCAGTTACTAAGGAATGGCCTGTCATTTAACTTTCCCTTCATTCCCTTATGTGTTCACGACGAAACTTGTTTAGTTAATTAAGTTGTATTTTCCTGTTCATAAAAACTGAAATAAACCTTGATTACGGAAAGTTTCAACTTTTAAACTCTTTTTTTCGGATCACATCTGCTACTCGTAAATGAAAAAGCGCAAGATTGACTTATGCCGTTAAGTACGGACGAAAATGAAAAGAACAATCTTCTATCATTCTATGAATGATTGACCCCCACCCACACTTTCAAAATAATCATTTTTCTACTCATCACTAATGCCAACAAATAACATAATTATTCACCAAATGACTCTTCAACCTTCAACAGGTGCTCATTCAAAAAACATACACCCATACGCCTCTCTGTCTTGCATGATTTCCCTGATTTTCAGTGTATATGTGCGTCTGTGTATCTGTCTCTACAATGGCTCTTCTCAAGAGCTATAACATCGATCTACTTACCATATGAGGCTAGAAGACGCTTCTTCATCCATCGACAGATTGACCGACTGACACACCCACCCCCACCAACACTACTCTCTCTTTCTCTCTTCAACGCAGCAGACCAGAGGCCGACCAGCGTCTATCCAACATGGTCGAGGGTTATGGCCCTGCTTGGCTGATGTTTAGCAGGACGTGTGCACCAGCACGCACACGCCCTTCATGCCATACATATTTTACAAATTATACAGAGTTAAGATATTGATGATGGAAATAATTTCTTCATATTTTATGATCAGTTCTTTATATTCAGAGCAGTTTTCGTAATTTTAACGGCAGCAATGAGGTGTTGCGAAACGTGACGCAGGCGACACGACACTCGAACGTCACCGCCAAATTCTCTCATGTCAGCTGCGAAGCATCTTCTCCGTTTTCTTTTTTTTCATAATAAACCAAGTTAATTTCACACAAACTTATGTACCATTCGCAGAGTCACCTCATATCATGGGAAGTATGGGTCGTAAGCCTGACAATCACATGTTATCGTTTATACACTTCGTTTTTTAAACTTTTTTTTCCGTGCAGTCTGCTTCCGGTTATCAGCATTTCAACATACCACTTATCTATAGCTATCCTATCATGCATATACTCTGGAAAGTTTCAAAAATAAGGAACGAGACACTATGAAACTGGATCAGCAGCGTCACTCTTCCCCCCCTACAGCCTCCGTCTTCATAATACATGATTATTTCTCTTAATTATGCCTCCATCTTTCTTCTTTTTCAAGATTTTTCATTGATTGAAGCATTCCAAAGTAAATTCATATGCTTCCGTGGCCCTTTCCTCCACGTTCCTTCTTTCCCTCCAATTGCGCAAGCTTTGCTTTTATTTATTTGCTTCAAAAGTAATCGTTCAATACTTTGCAATTCCACTCGTTGTTCTAATGCTTTCTAACATTTCCTTATAGATAAATGTGCGACGAGCAAACGGCCGAATTACTGAAAAAAGCTTCAGCGCCGTTAAAAGATCGGCCGCCGGGCTCAAGGCCCGTTCTTCGATCACCCAGTACTACTACTTTAGAAAAAGTATTATGGCTTATAAAAATACCCTTCAGGTTTGCCATCATATTCATAGCTTCCTAAACATATTATTTCTTATAGAACAGTGTTATGCCTGTCTCTAGTTACGATATTCTTCGTTACCTATTTTGGTTATATGATCCCCGTAATGTGGGCACGAACAATATGGTCAGCTTGTTATTAGTACCTCTCATAGTACTCCTTTTCTAGGCCACGGTTGTATTGGTTTGTGGAGGGGAAGTTGTATAGATGGTTACAAAGTTTCATAGCTTCCTGGGGATATACAGCAGGCTATGACGGTACAACTTATAACTTTCCTTTGATTACCTTAACCTATCAATTCAAGTTTACGAATATGGAGATGATGTAAGGACTTACTATAGTGATGAGAGAGTGCTTCTGATGTGTAACCATCAGAGTACTGCTGATGTGCCAACGGTCATGGCTTGTCTTCAAAGTAAAGGAGTTGCTAGTCGAAAAGTAATCTTGAATTTACCTGATGTATTTTGATATTCTTGATTTAAAGACTCTTTGGTTGATGGACATTATGTTCCGATGGACTCCATTCGGTATAATTGGCAGCAATCATGGTGACTACTTCATTCAACAAGGAAAAGCTACAAGGGACAAAGAAATACTCAGGTAGCACACGCATTCCTCATTTTTTCTTATTCCAATTTCCTTGTGAAGATTGAAGAAACATCTTGGAGACGTGTTCTGGGACAGAGATCGTCGATGGGTTATACTTTTCCCAGAAGGTGGATTTTACTACAAACGTATTGAAAGCAGTCAGAAGTGAGTACTATGCCTTCAACACTTACTCATTTCTTATGATCCCTCTAGGTATGGTAAAGAACATGGATTCCCACACTTGATATATACTACACTACCACGCCAAGGAGCTGTCCAAGCTATATTGGAAGAAGTAAGTCAAACGTTTTTAGCCGAGTTACAGTTAAATCACCACAAAAGCGCTAAAAAGGAAATTAGATAGCGCTATCTCATGTCCTTTATTATCTCTGTTTGTTGAAAAATCTTTTGATCAGTTTTTAACTTGGTCACTATCTTTTTTTCTCAATTTTTTACAAAAACATCACATGTCCAATACCACTTCCACTACAACTCCTTATGATCAACCGTTCCCGCGAATACATTTTCGAAATATGAAAATTCACGTGGGAATAGGGCCACGTAAACTTGCAATGATCACGGGAACCTACTAATTTGAAGAAATTTCTTCATAATGAATCTTATCATAGGCATATTAAGAATCTTATTAATAGATTGGTCCTCGTGATGACGAAGATGAGGGACCTCGAGAGCGTAGTCACAGCAAGCTCAAACTATTAAAAGATACCGTTGGAGCTATTCGTGAGAAGAAATACGTCAAAGGTATGTTAAAATCTTTATTAAATTTGAAAATTGAGAAAATTGATTATGGTGGAGATCGACTATTTCACACTAGTTGTAGTTGAAAACTCGTAATTTACTTCTATGATATCTTCTACCCTGTTAATATGTATAGGTAACTTAGAAGATTAAGCTTTCTCGATCAATGAATGACCAGTTGGGCTTGGGGTGACACTCCGAATTCGGTTTTCTTAGCATCGAAAAGGTTCTGCAGAGCTTTGACATATTCGGCGTGTAGTTCATTCACTTGTTCAGGGGTTGGATTCTCCACTTGATCTACGGGTATTGGGGCTCCCAAAACTGTGTTAATTGGTTTTCTGCAAAATAGAATAGTATGCAATTCAATCTTATACTCAGCTAACCTATATGGGAGTAGTCCAAAAGTGTAGTTGAATACACCTCTTCCATGGAATGCTGGTGGCGAGAAACCGAGAAGATCTTTCAAGAAAGTTTGAACCTTACGTATCTTTGAACCTTTCGGGTTGTCAGCCTGTGATTATGAAATTTACGAAGCAGTCATATCGAAAAGATTACCTGTTCGAAAATATCATTTTCCCCGAAAGAATAGCATGGTACAAGATGGGCCCCCGTTTGTAAAGCTAACCGAATGAATCCCTTTCTTCTATTCAATGTTAAAATATTATGTCCTGGGTGGGCGTCTAGGGCTTCCTCTGCACCGCCAACAACAAGAACTACGGCTTTCCCCTTCAAATTATTATTTCTTGATAAGGAAGTTTGGAATAACGAACCTTATTCCCTTTATTGATCAGATAGCTTATACTCTCTCTGCTACAATCAATCATACCATGCAATAACCCCCATTCTCTTCTGAAACTTTTCGTATTCTTGCGTAAGCCTTACTGTCCTGACCTGAAGGGCGTCCAAAATTGACCAACTAGAGTGCAGAGATGGAAGTTGATGTTAGGGAAACTCTCAAGGATTCCAGTTCCATTAGTCCCAAAATTTATGAAAGCAGACATGGAAATGATACCGTGGGGATGATACCCTATTATGTAATTCTGCAAATTTACTGTTGAGTCATATGGTTCATCGATCCTACCTTCTCGGAGTCTAGTTCTTCAGTTTTGTGCAATTTTGCTGGGAAGTAGTTTGCATACCATTTATGAATCCTCTGATCCATAAACCATTTGCTCCGATATCCACCTCTCTTTGGACTATCCCAGTCATATATTAACCAAATGGAATAGAGAATCATTAAGGGCCAAAGTGGCGTCCATAGCTGAAATCAATACTGAGGAGTCATTCGTCTGCCTTCAGGGAACTTACCAATATAAAAGGAATTACTAAAGTGAAAGCTGGCAATACTAGACAAACGATAAAAAAATGGATAGCTCCTAAGGTTTGAAGTCGTCGCTCCAGGGGAATGTTAAGAGGTGCTAGCTCGATTCCCAGCAACCGAGTCATACTCTGCAAACAGTATAAATTTGAATTGAAACATCAATAGGAATAGGATTAAAGGCATGAGTGAATTGAGGAGACGCGAAAACGCGCCTCTTCATACTTTCTATATACCATAAATAATCAGTTGATCTTTCACGATCAAGTCTCAGTTAGTGAGTTAGATGCTTTGATAGAATACTATTACCACGTGTTTACTCTCCCCTAGCAGAACGGTTTCAAGAAAACAAGCGATAACAACAAATTGCTGACTTTTCATTTTACAGAATCTCGTCCTCCCATTAAGTATGTATTGGACATGACCATCGCCTATCCCAATGGAATTCCATTGAGCTTAGCAACACTAGGATTCGGAAGTCGCGAAAAATGCGATATCGCCGTGAATTACAAGATGTACGATGCTAGTGAAGTAAGTTTGTAAACTCTGTTTAGAAATCTATGTTTGAAACAAGCAAAAGAATTTAAAACGGGGGAAACCCCAGCGCTCTGATCGTCGGCAAGGTCAATAACGGAAACTCCGTAGATTGCCGTGGCTGGAGCGCCGGGTACGCATTGGTTTAGAGACTTGACTCATAGGAAGAGAAAGAGAGTTGCTGTTTATCCAGAAAAACCATGGAAAACAAAGTGTAACCTTTCTCTCTTCTGATAACAGCAAGCTCATTTGAGACACCAAGAATAACGTAATTTTGAAGATCGATTACAAAACTGAGAGTTTCAACTTTTGAAATTGAAATGAGTGTGAGAACAAAGAAACATGCAACATGCTAACTTGCAATCGAGCAACAGGTTTGTCAAGTTGAATGATCGTAGACAATAGGGAAATTAGTATTAACTAAGAAAAGAAACAACAACTCACATTCTTTCTAGGTCCCATTCCACGATGACGAGAAGTTACGCGATTGGATGTATAACGTCTATAAGGAGAAGGATGAAATGCTAGGTAATTCCAAGAAATCGATAAAATAGAGAAACTAGAGAGAGAGAGAGAAAAAGATGGAAGGTGAGAAAAGCGATTAATGATTAAATGAGAAAACATCTTCAATTAGGGTTTTGTATGATATGAATTAGAGCACAAGAATCGAGAATGAACATATCACATATTGTTTCTTATATGTACTTTGGTTTTACGTTCGTTCGCTATTACACAAAAACATAAACCCATGCCGTAGTTATAAGTTTTATTAAGTTTTGATGAAATAGTGGTGGGAGGATTTCGTTGGGTATCAAAGGTTTTAATAAATTGCTTATCTTATTCGATTCTAAGATAGTGTGTCCAGTTTCTTTGTTATTATCAAAGGAACCTTTGGACCACTGATAATGCTCGGAACTATTCTGAAATTAAAAAACTCTTTACAGCCAATTACTATGCAACAGGAGAGTTTCAACCAGGAGAGAGAGGCCAACGGATATCATTCTCATTAGCAAAAATCATTGGGCAATACATTTTCTGGTTCGGATCTTTCTATGTACAATATAAGGTTTCTTTTGCTGTTCGACGTCATAACACGCTTTTTAACTTTCAGGTTTATGGGTGGTTGATCGTGCAGGCAATCGCACTGCTTCTAGCACCATTTAACTGGGCCTCAGTTTGATGATTTCAAACGCAATCTCGCAATTGAGTTGTAGGACGAGCTTCATATTTCATTTTTTTTATTTCATTCATCTTCCAGCATAATCTTTTTTTTGTTAATTTTACTTTTCTTTTTGTGCTTTATTTTGCACTCAGATGTACTCAAAGGGTAGCATTTCCAACGGTGATTTGTCTATAGACATTAAAACATTTCGAAAATAAACAATCTTCTAATCTCTCTCCTACGCTGCGTAATGGTTCAATCACAGCTCACGTGGAAAAGCCGTGAAGTCCTTGCGCGCATCCGTCATTTTCACGCGTGTACAGACGTATATCGGTTGAACATCTCTGAAAGGGAACATCCATGATGCGAATGCACTGATGAAGTAGATAGTTTAAAGTTTTATTATGAACTGGGGCATTTTTTTTTAAAAACGACTTAAAGCTGGAAGGTACATGCAACGATTTGGGTTTCAATTGATACTTGGTTGACGTGAAGATCAGTTTCGTATTTCTGGGAAAAAAGCAGAGATTATTTTCTGCTTGCCTAAACCAGACTTCCCATTTTGCTCATAAGAACATCGATCTGAAGTATGCACATAACAGATAAAATCAATGTGAAACTCACTGTCGCCATTCTTTCGTTTTTCTTGTTCAGGCTTGGCACGTCACTCATAAGTTTGTTTTCCTTGTTCCCAATTCTGAAACATCTTTTGACTTAGTTAATACCCGTTCAACCCAACCCTGTGGAACATATAGCGCTCCCACTAACTCTCTTATTAATTTGTCCGGATTCTATCCCGCAAAACATCTCTGTGTTCTTTTCGACATTCTTCATATCAATCCCTACCTTTGAGGGAATTGAAGATATAGTGTTGTCTCGCTTTTCCACAGACTCCTTTTCTTCCTATAAAATCTGAGCTGATCCACAGGGAGAATGAAAGACCTCTTGATCTTGAGAATAATATTTTCTTTTGATTCTGAGATCTGTCTCCACTATGGCAACTCTACGAACTGGTGAAGGGGAATCTGCAAGGAAGGGTGAAAACATTCCTAAGCTCTTCACCTGAGCGATGTCTTTTTGTTTTGTTAAGATTAATTTTGTTGGGTACTCGACTAGGTCGCGAATTATGATATGGTTCTCTGATTGGGCTGGACACTGGAAAACGTGAATGAAGTTAGGCAAACTGCCAAGTTCTACTTCGCATCCGTTTCGATGTAAGAGTGTCGAGTTCATCGTGTGATTGTGAATTGAGCATGTTGAAACCTGAAAAACAGTTACTGACATTCGAATTTGCTTAAAAGAACACAAACTTCGTTTTTTATAATTATAGTATCCGTCAAGATCGCTTCTCACATCGCTCATTTGATCAAAATCGTACCTCAAACTCGGAATTATGAATTGTAAAACCTTACAACAGCTCACCTATGTGCTGTCGCGAGAGCGATTTCGAAATCATTTAGAATATTTTTACTCGTCCTGATCGTTAACTCTGCTTGACCTCTTATTTTTCTGACAAAAGCATTTCAGCAAAGATGTAATCGAAACAATTACCTGTATTTATGATCATTCCACAATCTGTCTCTAACAGTACCCATTATGTTACCCAACAAATTTTGGCCTTTCCACTGATTCGGATTGCCTGCTTGAATGTCGTCAATAGATATCCCTAATGATATCAAATATAGATATGAAGATCTTGCTGACTCACCAATTCCCCATACAGCATCTGTAGGAGAACATTCGACAAGTCGAGTATCTTTTGTCAGAAATAGGAGATACAGTAAGTGTTCATTCTGTGAAAACTTCGCTTCCAAGGCGCGGTTCATAACGGCTTGTTTCAAAAACTGCCATTCAATGTCCCACCTGCCATCATGATCTCTAAAAGACAACTTTCGAAAATACTCTCTTATCGACTGACTTTAAATATGCTCCCATCGACTTTATGACTTTTGGATCCTTTTCCAACATCATATCTTCGCTTTCCTTATAACAATGATAAGTAACAGCTTTGTTGTACCTATAAATAGACACGATGTGAATTGGAGGAAAAACAAGTGCTTGCTCGTAGAACTGTTCCACACAATTGAAGATCTGCCATCTAAGATCTATCCCTCTTGCTTCGAACTTTGCCGGGTGGAAATTTGAAAAGGGACTCCGTCTCGTGAAAAAAAGTGTGAAACTGCCATGCTCCGTTGATATCCGACGCGTGCCCATACTAAAATCTTACATGTCTTCATACTTATGCATCGAATATGATTTGCAACTAAGCCTGCCCAATCAATAACAAGACTTAACAGAAAATTCATTTATAAAGACAATTCATTAGTGAACGAACGTTAGCGATACTCGAAAAGAATAGAGTAACAGAAAGTCAACTCTGGAATTACAGAAAATATGA